TTCGGGGGCCTTCCTGGCCAGGGGCTCTCGGAGTAAGTCGTGAAGAAGTATCGAGCAGGAGACATTCTCGTCGTGGCTGGGCGTCCGCCAACATGACTGAATTGCGAGGAAGTCTCGAGCGAGAGCGCCCTTCCTGAAATCGGGAGCCTCTCTGGCCAGGGCATCTCGGGATAAACTATGAGGAAATATCGAGCGGGAGCCGTTGTCGTCGTCGCTGGGCCTTCAAGGGCCCACATTTAGACTCAAGCAAACGCTCGCGCGGGAGCCTCGTTTTCAGACAGCATGTAGCCGGCGTCGAGGCGAGAGCGCGCGGAACCGCTTCCAGATACCAACAAGAATTATTCAAGACTGAAACAATAACAACAATAATAACAACAACAACAACAACAACAACAACAACAACAACAACAACAACGACAGCAACTACGACTACTACTACTACTACTTCTACTACTACTACTACTACTACTACTACTACTACTACTACTACTACTACTACTACTACTACTACTACTACTACTACTACTACTACTACGATACTACTACTACTACTACTACTACTACTACTACTACTACTACTACTACTACTACTACTACTACTACTACTACTACTATTACTACTACTACTACTACTACTACAGCAATAATATTAAGACTGTTCGCCCTTTTATGCTCGAGTGCCCAATAACGCGTATTTCCCAAACCCTCGATACCCGCCCTCTTCGTCTTCGATCAAGCCCCTTTTGGGGGGTGTACCTTTCTTCCCTGCAGGCCGGGCCCCGGCAAGCGGCGGGGCGGCCGCGGACCGTCGGCCTGGCCAGCGGCAGCGCTGATCGGCGGGGCGGCCGCGGACCGTCGACCCGACCCAAAGAGGGACGGACAGGGGACCGACCACGACGACGACGACGACGACGACGACGACGTCGAAGACGACGGCGACGACGACGACGACGACGAGCGAAAGCGAGAGCGAGAGAGAACGACAGCAGGGCCACGAAGGGCACGAAGTAGGCCACGAAGGGCGACAGCGGGGACACGAAGGGAATGCGTATGGGGCCACGAAGAGCGCGAACGAGCGGGGGCCACGAAGGTCAGGTAATGCGGGGCCACAGAAGGCAACTATGGGGCCACTGAAGGTAGCAACTGGGCCACGTAGGACAGTGAGGGGGACACAAATGGCGACAGCGGGGCCACGAAGGGCATACACATGGAGCCACAAAGGGCGCGACTCCTGGGCGCCTGGGTGTCGGGAGCGCGGCGCTTGGGCAAATTGCAGGAAATTCAAACGCAAGGCTATTCTTCAGTAAGTTGCAAGGAAGTCTCCAGCGAGAGCGCGACTCCAGAGCGCCGGGAGAGCGATTCCTGAATAAATTTGAAGGAAGTCCCAAGCGAGAGCGCGATTCCTGAATACAATGCGAGGAAATCTGGGGCGGGAGCGGGGGTCCTGGCTAAATTGCAAGGAAGTCTCAGGCGGGAGCTGTTGTTGTTGTTGTAACCCTGGGGCCAAGGGCCCAGTCTGAGCAGGAAGACTTTCCCTGTCAAAAAACAGGGTGCGAGCGTCGAGGGGCACACTTTGATTGAGAAAAAACAGTATGCACCGGTGGGGGGATCAACAATAATTAGTCTTCAGAAATGACAATTCAACAACAACAACAACAACAACAACAACAACAACAACAACAACAACAACAACAACAACAACAACAACAACAACAACAACAACAACAACAACAACAATTACTAGCACGTGGGGACACTCCGTTCTCACCAGTGCCAGGGTTTTCATACGACGCCCGCCAATACCCCCACTTTGTGGGGGGGCCGGTTCAAGCTCTACCAATTTCCAAACGACTCTTCGCCACCACCCACACCCAGCTTCCCGCCCTATGACGTTCGGACACTTCACTTCGTGGCCTGCGGACGACCGTGGCTACTACACTGGCGCATGGGACTGCCATGCGCCGTGGGAGAAATTTTGAAAATTCGTACAGATGTTTTTCGAGGACCTACGGTGCGATTCGTATGATTTTATGTTGCGCGGTGCTAAAATTCCTAAGAAACCCAATGGTTTTTGAAGATTTCGGCGTGCGCGCGCGAAGAAAAAACGAATGTGTCCCGCATGGTATTATTTGACAGGGATGATGGCCCTGGCAGGTGCGCAACCGTTGTTGCAGAAGTTCGAAAAAGTTGCTCGCAAAAGCCCGTTTGACAGAAATGTTTAAAAAGTGTTGGGTTTCCTACGAATCCGCAAGAGCGCGCGGGATGAAATTTTGACAATTTTTTTTTGAAAAACCATTGGTTTTTTGATGTTTTTATGTTAAAATCGCTACGAACACTAAGGTTTTGGAAGGATTTCGTCTTGCGCGCGCGAATGTCCACTTTACCTTATTTTTTGCAAGGGATTCTTGAAATTTGATTATATTAGAACAAGAAATGTCATTTTCTATTGTTTTTTGCAAGGGAAAGCGGATTACAACAAAACAACCGGATCCTGTACACACCCTCTTTTCTGAGGCTTCCTCACGAAAATGATGAAAATGTAGCTGCGGCCTAGGCGGCGCAGGGGGGGCGCGCACCAGGGGGCCCAACAATAATTATTCTTTAGAATAAATAATGTTCAACAACAACAACATCATCAACAACAACAGCAGCAGCAGCAGCAGCAGCCACAACCACAACCACAACCACAACCACAACCACAACCACAACAAGCACAACAACAACCACAACAACAACCACAATCCGCACCGCGGAAGCTCAATTGAGCCACGCACCCAAGGACAGTGAATGACCGTTCGGCCCCGTGACTCCAATATCACTGTGCCTGGGCCGCAATGTGCCACCGAGTGGTGGACAAATATAACATAGTTCAGTGGACATGTTCACGGCCCCGAAGCAGGCCTTCTCATAAGGCGGGTGGGCCTTGTCAGAAACCCTCGCACCTTCGAACAAGTTGTCCAAGCTTTCCTTGAAGCCGGACAGGGTTTCTGACAAATCCCGCCGCCTTCTGAGAAGGCATGCCCCCTCTCACTTCCCCGCTGGCTCCGGTGAAGCAGCCAATGCCAAAGTTTGTGCATATCCACCACCTGGGGAACCGGTGTCCAAGACACGAGGGGGCAGCGGATATGGAAATCCTTGGAGCTCCTGGGGCACGAGAATATCCACATATCCACCGCTTCCCGCGGCCCTGCGACATCGGTTCCCCAGGCGGTGGTTGTACATAGACTTCAGCCTCGGACGAACGGGACCACGGGCCAAGAGAGCAACGTGATTGGGGCACGATCAAATATCGAAGCGCCCCCCGCCCCCGCGGGGCTATCGTTGCGAGGCTGTAGCAGTCACTGCTTGGGAAGTCAACGTTGCACGATCAGTCACCACACGATACTTCGTGCCGATCTCCTGTGCAACAGGACGCGCCACGTACAAGTGCTGTGCCCCAAATACGCACGCTTCCCTGACATCAAACGCAGAAACAACTTTTCGTCGGCGGCGAGGCAGAGTTGGCCACACTGGCGCTAGAGCTAAGCGGGGGTCACCGAGAAGCGAAGTCGCGAGCGTGCAAGAGCGGGAAGAAGGCAGAAAGGCAGGGCGGCCGTGGGGGGGGGGAAAGAAAAGGCCACTCAGAGGTGCATAGGCAAGCGCGCTCCACTACTCGCAAAGTCACTACTCGCAAACGGCCTGGATCAGCCGCAGAGGATTTACGATAAATCCGCTGGCCCCCTTGTGGGGCCACCAGGCTGTAGGGCGAAGGTTCGCAGTTTCCTGTGCCAATTGCAGCTTCCAGTTTCCACTGTTACAGTTCTGCTTCTTGCTGCTTACTGTTCCTTGTTGACTTCTTGCTGCTTACTGTTCCTTGTTGATGGACCGCGCGAGGGGGGGAGGCCCAAAACCACGCCCTGGGAGGGTTCTCAGAATTTCTGAGGGGGGGAATTGACACCCCTCACGCAGATCGGCGGGGTCAGGGTCCAAAAACACTAAGGATTTGCCACATTTCTGAAACTCGGTGGCACCCCTCACGCAGATCCGCAGGGTCAGGGTCCGAAAAGACAGGGGATTTGCCACATTTCTGAAACTCGGTGGCACCCCTCGCACAAATCCGTAGGATCAGGGTCCAAAAACACATGGGATTTGCCATATTTCTTAAATTCGGTGGCACCCCTCATGCAGATCCGTAAGGTCAGGGTCCAAAAACACAAAGGATTTGCCACATTTCTGAAATTCGGTGACACCCCTCGCGCAGATCCGTAGGGTCAGGGTCAAAAAACACCAGGGATTTGCCACATAAGGTCAGGGTCCAAAAACAGGATTTGCCACATTTCTGAAACTCGGTGGCACCCCTCACGCAGATCCGTAGGGTCAGGGTCCGAAAAGACAGGGGATTTGCCACATTTCTGAAATTCGGTGGCACCCCTCGCACAAATCCGTAGGGTCAGGGTCCAAAAAGACAGGGGACGTGCCACCTCTCTGAAATTCGGGGGCACCCCGCACGCAGATCCGCAGGGTCAGGGTCCAAAAAACATAAGGGATTTGCCACATTTAAAAAAGCACCCCTCTCGCAGATCCGCAGGGTCACGACGTCTTACCAACCGCCACGTGTGGTAACCCCTCTGGTGATTAATTGGTTTTGCTCATTACGAGTCGGCCTCGCATGAAGTTCCGAAACTGCTTCACGACAGCGCCCAGGCCTCATGACATAGCTCTTGCATAGCGTATTCTCCGAGAGAGAGGGCCGGCGGCAGGGGGCGAAGCCCTTACAGATATTACATCGAGGCGAACGAATGTTTTTCGGACGTTTGCGAGAAGGTGGAACGCGCCCGGTGAGTGCAAGAGTTCTCACCTGAGTGTGCTGGCGCAGCCGGCCCCGTCAGCGGGATCCATGGCAGCTGCCGGGCCGCAGCGCCAGGGCACCCACGGGCGATGACGGGGCACGGTGCGTGGACGCGGAGAGAAAAAACACACTCCCCCTCCCGTTTATCCGCTCTTCTGCCAGCCCAAGAAGCCAAGAAGGTCCTCCATTCCATGCTTGCGGGTCACATGCACGCCCCACGGGGCCTTGCTGCCCATGTCCTTAGCGTGACGCGAAACACCTCCCTGATGACGATTCCACGGCTCATCCCAGCGAGACAAGATCAAGAGTTACAGTCACAACATGTAGGCTTCCAACCCATAGTGATCGTGGCAGGGTGCTCAAAAGGCTGCCTTCAGGCGGCACCTGCTGCGAAGGCACTATCTTCCTCTCGCTTGTGGCATCGGCTATCGGGCCGCAGATGACGAGATGGCACCGATCGCGACAGCAGCAACGGCGATCGCAAACTCGTCCTCCACATCGAACCGCATCAAGCACACGATCGACTGACATCGCCAGCATCGCTGTGTCAGTACGTGACACTCTACGAACAACAGCCTCGCCGTTCGATGAGTGCGCAGTCGAGCGATGACCTAGGCATGCAACCACACTGCGTTTTCACGATATACCTCCGCTACATGTGCGCGATTACCGGGAGCCGCCAAGCTCGCTGCCTTCCAATACCACGTGGCCTCCTCAACGCGGTCCGCGGCTGCCTTGATCGACACTCGCGCGAACTCGGGCTGGTGTCGGCAGTTGTGCTTTGTGATATTGAATGACGTGATGGCGAGCGTGCCCGTGTGACCAACCTGCGGGGGGGGAAGGAGGCTGTGTCCCGAGGTAGGGGGGTGTTGAGGAGAAGGACGTCGACTAGGACAACGAGGACGAAGAATCGACAGGTGTGTATATACCTATACGACCACCCTTCGGGTGATAAGGAGGTTCGGGGGGGGGAGGAACCAACGTCTCACTCGATCGGTCTCACTATCGATCTCACTATCGATCTCACTATCGGTCTCGCTCGGTCGATCTCACTCGATCGATCTCACAATCGATCTCACTCGATCCATTTCATTCGATCGATCTCACCATCGATCTGACTATCGATCTCACAATCGATCTCACATTCGGTCGAACTATCGATCTCACAATCGATCTCACATTCGGTTCAACTATCGATCTCACTATCGATATCACAATCGATATCGCAATCAACGTCATCATCATCATCATCATCATCATCATCATCAGCAGCATCAACATCGTCGTCATCAACGTCATGAACATCATCATCATCAACATCATCGGGACACAATCATCATCATCACCTCATCACCATCATCATCAGCATCATCATCATCACCATCATCACCATCATCATCGGGACACCATCATCGTCACCATCATCATCATCATCATCATCATCATCATCGGGACACCATCATCATCATCGAAACACCACCACCACCATCATCATCATCATCTCATCACCACAATCATGAACAACATCATCAACATCATGATTGGGACTCCATCATCATCATTAGCAACCTCATCATCATCATCGGAACACCATCATCATCGGAACACCATCATCATCGTCATCATCGTCATCATCATCAACATCACTGGGACACCATCATCATCATCATCAACAACATCAGCATCATCATCATTGGGCCACCATCATCAAAATCATCATCATCACCTCATCATCACCGTCATCACCAACATCATCATCATCATCGGGACACCATTATCGTCATCATCCTCATTATCATCATCATCATCGGGACACCATCACCATCACCATCATCATCAGCAGAATCATCATCTACCTCATCATCATCATCATCATCATCATCATCATCATCATCATCATCATCATCGGGACACCATCATCTTCACCATCATCATCATCAAATCATCTAATCATCATCAAACATCGTCAGGACTATCAACATCATCATCATCGAAGCACCATCATCATCATCAGCAACTTCATCAACATCACAATCATCGGGGCACCATCATCATCACCACCATCACCATCATCATAATCATCAACATCGTCAACATACCCATCATCGGGACACCATCATCATCACCACCATCACAATCATCATCATCATCATCATCATCATCATCATCATCGTCAACATCATCATCAGCATCAACATCATCATCACCATCATCATCATCATCATCATCGGGACACCATCATCGTCACCATCATCATCATCATCATCATCATCATCATCATCATCATCATCATCATCATCATCATCATCATCATCATCATCATCATCATCATCATCATCATCATCATCATCATCATCATCGGGACACCGACGGGACACCGGCGGGAAACCGCGCGCCACCGGCCCCCGAGCGGGACACCGGCGGGACACCGCGGGGCACCGGTTGCCAGAACGTAGACTTTTGGTCCGGCCGCGCCTCAGCTATTTCTCGCCCGCCCACGCAGCTTCGCCTCGCCCGCACGCACGGCACGCACGAACACGAAACCGAAACCGATTTCCCGGAAGGGGGGCTCTCCGTTCCACTTCGATCTCACCCCCTCACCTCCGATATGTAATAGATATATAGGCATACATAATGTGTGTTTATATATGCGTATGTATGTAGGGAGGGGGAGAGAGGCGGGGGGCGAGGAGCAGGAGTAGGAGGAGCAAAGCGAGACGCGCAAGCATGAGGCGGTGGAGGAGGACGAGGTAGGCGAACGAGGACGAGCAGGAGGGCGAGGGTAAGAAGGAAGAACAGGACGAAGAGGAAGAGGATAAAGACGAGAAAGAGGGCGAGGACGAGAACGAGGACTGGCACGTTCAGGAGGAGCAAGAGCAGGAGGAGCACAGAGGGGTGAAGGGTGGCGTTAATACTGGGTACCATGTGCTAGCTTAGATTGATGTGCGCAGTGGCGTAGAAGTTGTCTGGTCTGATGGTGGTTGGAATACTTGGGTTTTACTGCTTCTTCTTTCGCAATACATGTGCACAAAACTGCTGAGAGGTGAGAGCCACAGCCGCGAACCACGGCTCAACCGGAGGCTTGCAAATACAGATGAGAGGCTGGCGTGTGACAAGTAAGATAACGAGGTAGAGCAAAAACGGGCCGAGGGACCGGGAGCAGCGCACTTGGCACTCTGTCGCAGGAAGATCTGTGCACAGAGCTGCCTCGGGAGGGTGAACCACCCCGTTGTGCTGTATCTCTTACGGCCCCGACGGCCACGCATGGCAGTCCAACTCAGCAAGAGATGGGCAAGTAGGGGGGCGAGAAGGGAGGTGCAGGAGAAGACAGAGGGGGAGAAACTTGAGCAGCGCTAGTCAAGTTGATACTAGCACGGCACCGAGGACAAGAAGGGAAAAAAGACCTGGACCCCTATCGCGCAGGAGGCGGGGGAGGCGGAGATCAAGGAAGGAAGAGAGAAAGGAGGAGAGAGAGAGAGAGAGAGAAATAAAAAAAGAGATAGAGAGAGTGGGAAAGAGAGAGAGGGAAGGAGAGAAAGAGAGAGAACAAAACAAAGCAAAAAAGCAAAAACAAAACAAAACAAAAACAAAAAAACCTGAGGCACAAATCAAGCCAACTCGGTATATGCCGGTTCTGGAGTAGCGGTTCGGGTGTGACTGGAGAGGCCCCGATAAGAAAAGAAACGGGGGCCGCTGAGGTGTCTGCTGGAGTTTTGCAAGCCGAACGTGCGAACCTTTTATCCCTAGACTCGTTGTTGGAGACGCTCATGATTTCCATTGCATCCCGAGCTTGCGGTAGTGCGGAAGCCCCTCCTCAGCCTCGACATTGTGGCGCCATAAAGCCTGGAGGTTACGCTAGCTAGCAAACCGTTTCTATACGTGGACACCTTGGTCGTCTTGATTAAGCTATGGATGCCACACTTGCCCGCGATACTCACAAACCTGATGAGCCGACTCTTTGCAGCTAACAAGTGGCGCCGCTACCACGTGGGAGTGGGCACTGTGATGAGGCAAGTCGGGTTGACGCGTTTCCTCCGCGCCCCTAATAGAAAACGGATTTACAAGTGGGCACCTTGCGAGATATTGTTTTTTGGTAGCTCCGGGAAACGGTCGTTACCCGGGAGTGGGGGAGTGGTTGGGGCCCCGGGTCATGGTAACGCTTGGGCAAGGTGCACCATAGGGCGGGGATGCGCTGCGATCACCACAGTATGTGCGCGAGCGCCAGCATGTGGGGGGGGGGGGGGCCCGGGTAATGGTAACGCTTGGGCAAGGTGCACCTCGGGGCGGGGACGCGCTGCGATCACCACAGTATGTGCGCGAGCACCAGCATGTGGGGGGGGGTCAGCCCCCCCCCACCCTACGCACAGTCATGACGGTTACCCAGAGGGGGATTGGAGGCCGGCCTGGGTAACTACCGTTACGCGCCAGAGGATGCTCTGCATCATATGAGCCGCCTGCCTCAAGTCGACGAATGCAATCCTTTGCTGGACGGCCTAAGGCCACCCTTGGGCAATCAGCAATCTCTCGACGACGAGAAAACTCCCCAAGATGGCCTGAAGACCTACCTTGACGGCACCACGCCCCCACACACACACACACACACACACACACACACACACACACACACACACACACACACAGAACCACGGCTCAACGGCCCCAGCCAGAAACACAGAACCCGAGGAAGTCCAAGGAGGCTTGCAAGCTCGCCAAGAGCACGCCGGCAGGCGCCGAGGATCTCGGGCACCGAGAGCTTGAACGCACTTGGCTTACCGCAGTAGGCACCCACGATAAGAACTTGCTATGGGAGACCTAGGAGCACACTCTCCGTCGACCCTGAGCTTCGCAGGGTGCCCCAGGGCTCTGCGGCCCCATCGGGAGATGAGAAGTTGTCGTGGGGCGCCCGCTGGCACGGCAGTGCCTTCGGTGGTGTCCCTGGCTACCAGTCAACGACGGCCCCAGGCTACCGTCAGGGCGGCCGCCCAAACCTCCCGCGACGGCTCCGAAGACTCCTTCAGGACGGCCGCAGGGCCCCCGAGCCTGCCACGAGGCCCTCCAGAGGGCCCAGAGCGACCCCCCCGGAGGCCGCCAACAGGTCCCCAGAAGGCAGCGCAGCGACCGTGCGACGCCACAGTCGCGCCGTGCTGCAGCGTTGGTGCGCACATTAAGGGGACGGACATGCACGGCATCGCGACCGGATGCGAAATGGCACTAAACCTTGAGGACACAATTCGAAAAAGGATAACGGGAAGGATAATGTCAGAGGAAAAACAGGGGCCTTACTTGCTTGCCATCGTAGGCTCGAATCAATGGGATTGTGGTGCAAGCTGCATGATACAATACACGTGGTGCAAGCTATGTGGAATAAGATGTGTGGTGAAAGCTACGCGCGCTGCAAGCTACTCCGAGTTTCTGGATAAGCGCCGGGGGGGACGTCACCCCCGCCGACAGCCCCACCCCCATATCGACCTCCGTCGCGGGCAGCCACGGCGCGCCGAAGGCGCTCCGACCCCCGTCGCGGCGCGACGACGAGGCGGCGTTCCCCCCCCCACGCTTATCAAGAAACCCAGAGTGCGTGGTGCCAGTTATGCGGTGCAGGCTACGCGGTGCAGCGTATGTGGTACAAGCTATGTGCTGCAAGCCCTGTGACGCCTGCCACGCGGCCGCCCAAGGGGCGCCCACGAGGCACCTACGGGCGGTCACGGGCCCCCTGATTATGTTGCAACAATTTCTGAATACTCGTCCTGTAGACGGACATGCCCGATGTAAGCCCACGAGGCGCCCACGGGCGGCCACGGGCGGCAGCGCGGCGGATCCTCGGCAGACCCAACCAAGCCCTCTGGGAGCTCAACACAAAGCCCCAAATGAAAGCGTTGCACGGACCCCTGCCGGGTCGCCCTCTCGGCCTCAGTCGGGCATGTCGGCCAGAAGAAGGTAAGGAAGAAAGGACGGACGTTCCCAACGCGCCCGGGTGGGGTCCCACTGGAAAAGGAGCGGCGGCGCCGAACACTCGGACTAAAGGCGGCGCAGCGTGAGCATGATGCGGGAAAGGACGGAGGAGAAGCAAGACAGAAGGCAGGCAGGGACGGACGCAAGAAATGGGACACGGCGAGGACGCAAGAAGCAAAAACAGAACAGAACAAAGGCCGGTCGCCCGGCTGCGAGAGCCGGTCCCTTGGGGGCGCGGGGCGCCCGGGCGGGCCCGAGGGAACGCACCATTGCAACAATGTATAGGATAATGACGGTGCCGCCTCGCCTCTTCTCGCAAGCGCAATCCCACCAACATTCGCGATGAAGGGAACGCACCATTGCAACAACGTATACGATGACGACGGTGCAACCTCCCCTATTCTCACATCTTCCATACTCTTGACGACAATTTACTTGAAATCATCTGACCACCGCAAAACAGGTCGCCCTTGTCGGCGGCGAGCCTCCATGCGAAACCATGGCTTCCACGAGAGTAATATGCTGCTCCACTTGCCGCTATCGCGCGACTGTAACTGATTGAAGGCCCGTTGCTTTCTCTGCGTCTGCGTCAGAACCCAATCTGTGGCCCCGAAATCAGCAGCGCGCAAGCAGACCGATCTTGTAGATCGTCGCGCGTACCGCACCCATGACTCTGAATCTTCCCTGGGTACTTGGAAGATCTTGCGCATCATTTTTCGCCACGTGGTCCGGACTGTCTGTGCGTCTGCAAGTTTCAGTGCCCAAATGGAGCACGCGTATAAGGCTGACCGCGCGACGACAGAGTCGAAAAGCTTCAACCGGGATGCCAAGGGGTACGTCGTTGAGCACATTACACTCTTGTATTTGGCGAAGGCGCGCCAGGCTGCGTTCATTATGTTCGTAAGCTCTGCTGCCTGAAAATTCCCTACAGATACAAGTCTGCCCAAGTATTTTTCGGCGGCGTCCGGCGGCAAGATAGAAACGTCGTCTTCTCCCACTCTGACAGAAGCCCCCCCCTGTCAGCTCGCAGTTTGTGGGGATTTTCGTCTTTCCCAAGTGCACAGCTAAACCATATCTCGAAGCTTCTGTTTTCAGATCTGACAGCATTTTCCGCGCGTCGGCCTTCCTCTGCGCGAACAGCAGAACGTCGTCGGCGAAACGAAGGTTCGCGAGCGGCTCCTCTGGGTCGTCGATGACGAAGCCGTAGTACTGCCCCGCGCGCCGCCTGTTGAGAGAATGCCACCTGTTCTTAAGTTGCCCGAAACATGCTTCCATGACGGCAATGAACAGCAATGCGCTGATTGGCCCCCCCTGCTTGACCCCTCGCGCCAAAGAAAAACTCCTGGATTCTGCTCCGGCGCAGACAACAGCAGATTGGTGCGCGTATAACTTTTTCAACAGTGTGGTGTAAGGCACATCGACGTCGAAGTCGTAGAGAACTCTCCATAGCGCATTGTGTTCGACTGCGTCGAAGGCCTTTCCGAGATCCACGAGGCACAGCCACGCGCAGCGATTCCATTCTTGACATTTTTCCAGAAGTAAAGTTAGAGAGAGCAAGTGGTCCTCCATCGAGTACCCCTCCCGGTAGGCGGCTTGATCTGACGGCTGTTCCGACATTAAGACAGGCTGGACACGGTCGCATACGATCCTGGCAAAGAGCTTATACAACACGGGTAAGATTGCGATCGGTCTGCAATTCTGCGGCAGCTCAGGGTCACCCTTTTTGAAGATGACGACCAATCTCGTTTGCCTCCACGCTTCTGGAGGCCCCCTGTCCGGCCGGAGCACCTCGTTGAACAGCTGCAGGACACGATCGTGCAAGACAGCGCCCCCGTTCTTCAGCATTTCCGCTACAACTCCCGACCCATCACTACACTTCCCATGTTTCAGTGTCTTTAAAATTTGCTTCAGCTCTTCCCGTGTGAGCGGCTGCACAGTAGCTGACGACAACGGGACAGGTTCCCTTTGAACTCCTTTGCTAGCGCACAGGTCTTCGTAGAACTGAGCAAAAACATCAGCTATACTTTCCTTCGTTTCTTGTGCCACTCCGCTTTTGTCAACCATTCTCGAAATGCGCTGCCGCTTTAAAGCTGGCAACATAAGACTTATCTCTTTGATGGCACGGAAGTCCGCGAGGATGGTATTGATTATGTCGGAACGTCGTTCCGCCTGCGATTTTCGGATTAGCTTCTTGATCTTTTTGCTAAGGACAATGCGCTGCGCCTGCTTTGCCTGCGCAATCATATCCTCTCGCCGCCTGAGCCGCCGGCGGTTCTCTATCAGCTGTCGCATCTCCAAATCAACTGATGTGAGATGCCTTTGGTTCCGCGCCTTGGGCGCTGCCAGTTCGGCGCACGTCGCCATGTCAGCCTCTATTCTGTTCGCCAATGCCGTCGGGGAACTATCTTCTCCCTCCCACGCCGCCATTTTCTCATCGACTGCTGCTTTGCATTTGATGGCGTCGGTATTTGGCCCCCAATACGGCGCTTTCTTCTTACTCTGGCACGGGCGGCCCCCACCAAACCGCATCCGTAGAGCCACCGCCTTGTGGTCAGAACCTGTGTCAATTTCTTTTTCTACACTGCACTCGACGATATGTTTCTTCCATTTTCTGCGCAGCAAGATGTAATCCAACTGCCGCTTTGTAAGTGAAAATGTCCAGAGGTCGTCTTGCACGCCAGCAAATGCGTTTGCAAGGACGAGGCCCTGCAAAACGCACCAATTCAGCAGACTCTGTCCGCGATCGTTTCGCGAACCTACCGGATTGGGCCCCATCACATCTAGCTCGTTATCTTCACAGAACCTCGGCCCGACCTCTGCGTCGAAGTCGCCTGCCAGGATCACGTTGTTACCATTTGCGACGAGCTCGTCCAGAGCGTCGTAGACGGCATCAACCTCGTCGTCCGGCCGTTCTGCGCGCGGCATGTAGACACCAACAATGTGAACCAACATTCCTGCGATATCCATCTTCAGCGAAGCGACTCTGTCGGACGAGGCAACAAAAGACACGTACGACCAACGCCCGTGTAGAAGCATGCCAACTCCATTGGACCTCCTGCTCCCTCCGCTTCCCAACCAGGTATGGCCCCCTTTCGTCGTGAAAGTCTCTCGCCGTTCTGCTCTCCACGTTTCAGAGAAAACGAGAACATCCCAGTCCCGGTCTCCAACTTCGAACATGATAGCGTCCAGCCTTTTCATCAAAATCCATAAACGAATGGATATTGCATGAAATTAAAACAAATTCGAATGACTCCTCTGGCGCTGGAGTAGACGAGTCATCCTCCTTCTCAGTGGTACGGTGCGCGCGATTATCTGTCGCGCTCCTCCGACGGGTACTGAACGCACACGGGCTTGCACGGTGTGTTTCCTAGCCCCGCAGGGCTTCGGCAACAGCGTCCTGGAGCACCGTGGCTGTTACGTTGATGCCACACTCTTTCAACTTATCTTCGATCAAATGGACCTTGCCCTCCTCCTCCTCCTCCTCCTCCTCCTCCTCCTCCTCCTCTTTCCCTTCCTCCCACTCCCCAATCGGGATGCGATTCATGAAGATCAAGCCCCTCCTGTAATCGACCCTCACGTTCTCTGCAGTGGCCAAACCCACCTCGATAAGAGTACGTTTATACTTCCCCAAAACCTTTCCGCGCAAGCGGTCTTCAGGGCTTCGGCTCGCCGAAACCCACAACTCCTTCCCCTGCACCTTGTGCTTTGGCTTCCCGTTGAGGCTCTTGAGGTACTCGTACATGTCCTTCGGCGTCTGGAAGCGTGTGAAACCGATATTGCCGAACTGGTACGCGTACACCTCCTCCACGCTCTCCGCATCATTCATCATGTTCGTCTCGATGTAGTTGGTCACGTATGTCTTCTCAGGGTCCTCGGGAAAGCCTCCCACGACGACGGTGCGGAAAAACTTGTCTTTGTCTTCCGCTGTCTTTTGCTTCTCCTTTTTGTCGTTGTTGTTGAGGGGCGTTTTCATGATGTCCTTGATGAATTTGTCCACGTCCTCCTTGGTAATGAAGTTCTCGCTCATCACGTGGATCTGCTCTTCGATCCCGGTGGACTTCTCCATAGCCTCCTCCGCTGTAGTATGCGCCATGTTAGCTTGGAGTTTGACCTGCGCAATCTCGTCTTTCACTTCTTTCAGGTTGTCTTGGAGGCCCCGGACCATGCCTACGAGCTGGTTCAAAATCTTCCCCTGGTTGATCGCCCACGCCGGCGCCTTCTCCACTTCCCATGTACTTCCCACTCCATCCCCATCCTCTTCCACATTCACCACCTCCTCCATCACTGCTTCCTCGCCCTTCTGCCGTTTAAGCTTCGGGGGCGGACTGGAAACCACCAAAGCTCTTAAAGCGTCCATGGAATGAAAGCGCTCGATGCCTTCGGAGATGTATGCACTTGCCTTGAGCCAAAACGAGTTGTATGGACGCAAGAAGCAAGGAGCAAGGAACGACAGAGGGAGGGAGGGCAGGAGACGAGGAGATCAGATGACACGAGGAAGGGGAAGGGAAGGAGCAGCGGCGTGTGTGGGGTCGGCGGCCTCCCGGCCGAGGAACTCCCGAAAGCCGATGTCGAGCTGCCGCAAGAAGCCGGTCTTCTGCCACATGGGGTCCTCACCTGGACAGGGAGGGGGAGGGAGAAGGGAGGAGGAATGGGGCGTGGAGGAGAGAGGAGAGGAGAGAGCGAACGCAAGAGACAGGAGTGGAGAGGGGAGAGAGACAAGCTGGGTGCGCTCGCGCTACGTCTGACATGCTACCCTCACCGTCCGTCCCCTCACGTTTTGTTCGCCGGGTCGGATGTCATAACAGGCCTCGATCCCTGAATAGCACTTGCTGTGCGTGGCTCGGCAGCATCGCGCGGTTGCGTCGCACTGGACGCGGGGGCGCGGTGCTGTCATGAGTTCGGCCCCCGACGACTAGAGCGACTCCAACGCCACGCGGGCCAGCTCGAACTGCGGGCGGGCATGCTCGACGCTCTTGCACGCCAAGCCCGAGAGCGTCAGGGCGCGAGCTCTCTACGAGGCGGCGCAGACCGCTTTTCAGTTCCACTCTCGCCTCTCCCACAGCTTCGCCAATCACCTCCGAAGCGCTGGCTCCCGCGCTGCCCTCGGGGCACGACCGCGTTGCCGAAGCTCTGGCGCAGACCGCTGCCTCGCGTGTGCTAGATCCCCTGCTTGCAGAAGTCGCCCGGCGGAAGGCTCCGGCGCCTCCTCGCACCGTCTTCCGGCGCCGGTGTCCAGGGCGGGCGCGAAGCCAGCTTCTCGGGGCGAGTGGACGCGGACGACCGGCGCGGCAGCACAAGGTGGACGGAGGAGGAGGAGGAGGAGGAGGAGGAGAAGGAGGAAGAGGAGGAAGAGGAGGAAGAGGAAGAGGAGGAGAGCGGGGTCATGGTGGTGCAGTGGAGGGGGCCACACCTCCTCGCCCTCCTCCTCCTTCTCCTCCTCCTCCTCCTCCTCCTCCTCCTCCTCCTCCTACTCCTCGCTCCACCTCCCAGGTGCGGGCGTTGCAACGTTCTCGCTCTGATCAGGGTGTTGGACCGCGTCGCGACGTCGGGCCTCAGGAAACCCCCCAAACCTTCTCTGGTCGTGAAATATCACGACTGGCAACTTTCGAACTCCTGGGGCCCTCACTGGGCCCCTGGACCGTCAAACAACAACTTGGGGTGAAAAAATGGTCCCAGGCAAGGGGTCCACACCTCTGGCAGCCCTCTTGATTGAAAAACACGTCGTTGGAAATTTGGGCTCATCGACCTCTGGTGGGATCCAAATTCAGCTCCCCAGACTCGAACCCAGGTCGCTCGGGTGAGACCCGAGTATCCTTACCAGCTGGACTATAGCGGAGCTGAGATGTGAGGGCGGCACAGTCGCGCAGAATCGACAACCACCCATCGGAGATGATGCCTGCCCTCGTTCCACATCCGCCCCCACCCCCGCTCCCGCCCCGTATTCCTCCTCCGCCGCCTCCGCCTCAAAACAAGTCATTCAGCTCACATTCACCTTTCTCCTCCTAGTGGTTCTAAGAAGGGGCCAGACAGTGCGCAGGGATGTCGGGCGACGGCTCGACCGAGAGGACGCGCGTAATCGCGGCGCCCGCGCGAGAGGCAGGAGCGAGGGAGGAGGAGAATAAACTAGGGGAAGGAGGAGGAGGAGGAGGAAGAGGAGGAGGAGGGGGAGGGGGAGGACGAGGGGGGGGGACGAGGGGGAGGAGGGAGAAGGGCAGGACGCGCGCAACCACGGCGCCCGCGCGAGAGGCAGGCGCGAGGGGATAATGAACAGGATCAGCGGGAGGAGAAGGAGGGTGAGGACGAGGAGGGGGGATGAGGGAGAGGAGGGAGAAGGGCAGGACGCGCGTAATCGCGGCGCCCGCGAGAGAGGGAAGAGGGTAATGAACAGGATTTGCATGGGGGAACGAATGAGGAGGGTGCGCATCTGCCGACTAGGTAGTGCAATAAGACGCTGCCGACACACACGCTTACATAACACCGAGAAAACATGGCCACAGCGCTTGACCGTCTCCTCTTCTTCAGCTGTCGCGTCCTCATGATAGCTTACGCTGGCAAAGGAAGGGGGTGGCGACGAAGGGAGCGGTGGTGGTGCGACGCTGCCTTGGGACGTGAGCCCATGGTCTGGACAGGTCAAGCGGTGAAAGCGACAGGAGGGGTGCGTTGGCGGGCCCACGGCGCTGCTGCATGGACGTGCGGCAGCACGGGCAGCCGTCGCCCTCGCGCCGTCCTGCGCCTCCTCGCCTCCGCCCTGCTCGCGCGGTACGGGCGAGTTGCTCTGTAACGACGGGAGGGGGGGGGCAAAGAGTCACCCCACGCAACAGTGACCTTTGGTGAGCAGCTTTCGACAGGCGCCAGAGGGGGGGCAGAACCAAGGGAGTAAGCCGATGCTACCGCATCGCGTTCAGCGGTCGGAGGACCCCGATGGGCTCGCACCAAGTGTCACTCGGGCGAAGGGTCACTTTGACATGTAGTCGAAAGGAGGTCGGCGACTCCGAAAGGTGTGGTTTGCAAAGGGTGTGGTTTGCAACTCGCACCCCGGCGGGCGAGCGGGCGAGGACCTCGACAGAGATCCCCGCCGCGCCCCAACGAAGGCTCGCCAAATCTTTGGCACAACGTCGGGACCCGCTGGGCCCTAACGGCGCCGATCGCCAACCACACCCCGGCGTAACCACACGCACTGTAGTCGCCGAAGAAGTGCACGGGCCGCGGGGCACGGCACGGCGAAGGCGGCGCACAGCGAACTGGGCGGCGGGCTCCCGCCGCGCGGCACGGCGAGGCGCAGCGGACGGCACGCGCCCGAGGCTGAGAGGAGCGCCACTCAGATCGGCCGAAGGTGCCCTGCGAGCGGACAGCGCCCTGGCGGCGTGGCTGGAGCAGGTGGCGGCGCGCACAGCGGCTGGCTACGGGGGCCCCTGCTCACCCCCATGCCTCCCCTCCCCCTGTCAACCTCCTCCTCCTCCTCCTCCTCCTCCTCCTCCTCCTCCTCCTCCTCCTCCTCCTCCTCCTCCCAGGTCGTCATGCACTCTTCGCCGTCCTCGTTCCTCGTCGCCGTCCTCCTCATGGTTCCTCTTCCTCCTCCTCCTCCTCCTCCTCCCTCCTCCTCCTCCTCCTCCTCCTCCTCCTCCTCCTCCTACTCCTACTCCTACTCCTACTCCTACTCCTACTCCTCCTCTTCCTCCTCCTTGACTGCTTTGGCAGCGCGCACGATGGGGTGACAGGTGTAGAAGCCTCCTGGTCGGTCTCTGAGGGCCTCTGCCCTCGAAGAAACTCCCCGCCGTCTTAGAAGGCGACCCCGCTCGCACCAGCCGCCTCATGCGCATCGCGAACGCATCGACGACACACGGGCGACGTCGGAGATGGAGAAAGTCGGGCTCCTGATCGTGCCGAGACGCCGATGCATCGGCGATGCGGTGAGCGCCTGTGGCCTCCCGACCCAACTTGGGCGGCCTGCAATTTGGTCACTGGCCCTGGAGGCTCCCCGTTTGAACCAGAAACCAAGCGACACCACCCCACTCAAAAGTTTAAGCACTGTCTCCGTGTAGTCTCGATGTGTTATCACGGAGACCGAGTCGCCTCCGAAACGAGTGTGCGGGAAGGTCGCAACAATTCAGCACGGCGGGTCGATGCAGGATAGTGTCTTTTGGTTCTTGGTCGACCGTTGCGGTAGCCAGCTCGGCATGCGATGTACGCGAGATGCGCACACGCAAGAGGGGGGGCTGGGAAGAAGCTAGCATGGGGGAAACAGGTCCTGGACCCTGGGGCCTTCCCCCAGGACCAGTTCTTCATCCCGAGTCGTTTCCTGACAGTCCCAGGGCCCGTGGACGGCCCCGGGAAGCCAAAAAAGGCAAAAAAAAGCCTCAGGACACGTCTCCCTCAGGACCCGCTTCCCCCATGGCGAAGGAAGGCGGCCGAGCGGTTTTGATATGTCCCTGCGCGCGCGTGGCCAGAAGGGGGGGCGGTGCGCAGGGAGGGGAGAGGGGCGCGCGAGGGTGGGCGCGCGGGCGCGAGCGGCGGCGCGCGGCCCTCCTCGTTTTCACCAACCTCGCTCTGATCCGCACTCGCGGGGGCTGCGTGATGATGATGATGATGATGATGATGATGATGACAGCGACGGTGAACGAGTAACCGAACCAAGATGTATACATGTATACATGTGTAAATGTATGTGTGTACATACATATATACAGACCTACATACATACATACCTACATACACACACACATACATACATACATACATACATACATGCATGCATGCATGCATGCATGCATACATACATGCATGCATACGTGCATACGTGTATACGTACGTATAGACATACGTGAATACATACATGCATACCTGTATACACACAAATCCATATCTATATTTATATACATATACATATACAGATACACAGATGTACATTTGCATGCACATATACATATACATGTACATATACATATATATATATATGTACCCATGCATATGCATATACATATACATATACATATACATATACATATACGTATACATATACATATACATATACATATACATAAACATATACATATACATATACATATGCAAATGCAAATACATATACACAAAGATATACATATACATGTACCTATACATGTACATGTACATAAACATGTGGAAAAGACTGGAATCACGACTTACAAAGAATTAACTTGCGAACTTATATTTTTATCGTGGGCATACAGATACCACACATACACAAATATTAACTCGCGAGTTAATTCTTCTATATATATATATATGAATAATTAATAAGTCGATTATGACATAACTGCATTGAAAATATAATGTGAATTCTTGTATGTCCGCGTCTCTTCCGAATAAGAAAACACACGTTTCCGGAGTAGGAGATATTATATCGATAAGCTGCTACAGATTCCCACCCTCTTCCTCGAGGATTTGGAATCCAGGCTCCAGGATTAGTCGTTGAGAGCATCGAATTGCCAGATAAGGTTCTTCGAAATTCACGCTGTCGGCGGGTTTCCCGGAGGTTTCTCCGGGATCGATCGGCCTCCCAAAGCTCATTCGCCCGTGTCCTACAGAGGATTCGTAGCGGCTCTGGGGCAGAATTGCGGCAGCAAAGGATCAAAGGT